GACTCCAATGATATAAATCCTTTGAACAACTATCTTACAGTTTAACAAAATGAATACCAGGAGGCTGAAACTTGTGGTGTCAAGGGGAGAGGTAGACAAATAGAGGAAGGGTAAGTGAATACTGTCATAATATTCAATAAATATATGTGAAAATTCTAGGAAAATAGAGGGGAATGGTGGGGTTGGGAGAGATGGGAGAGAATTATGAAGGAGGAAACACTGAACAAAGTATATTGTGCTCATAAATTGACATGTTGAATTGAAACCCCTTTGTACAATCACTTGAAGATAATTTTAAATTATTTAAGTAATTTTAAATTATCTAACCTCATGTTGCATGATGAAAGTCTAAAAGATTCCCCACTAAAATTAAGAATAGGAAAAGAATGTCTAGGGTTGGGAAGGTTGCTCAGTGGTAGAGCACTTGCCTTGCATGCATGAGGCCCTGGGTTCGATTCCTCAGCACCACATAAGAAAAAAGAAAAAACCAGGAAGTGTCACTGTGGCTCAAGTGGTAGAGTGCTAGCCTTGAGCTGAAGAGCTGAGGGACAGCGCCCAGGCCCGGAGTTCAGGTCCCACGACCGGACCCCTCCCCCCCCCAAAAGAAAGAAAAGAATGTCTACTCTCACTATTCATATTAAGTTCCCATATGAACTTATACTCAAATCATATAGGGAAGAAAAGAAATGCATGATATTCAACTTGGAATGGAAGAAGTAATGCTATCACTATTTGTGGATGACATGACTATATTTATAGAAAACATTAAAGAATCAACCACAAAAATGTTATTTTATTGTGAAAATACTGTACAGAGGGCTTACAATTACATGGGCAAGATAATGAGTACATTTCTTATCAAGCATTGTAGCCTCCTCCTTAGTTTCCCCTTCCCATCTCTTTCCATCCTCCTCCCCCGTCCCCCCACCCAATCCTCCCCGCTAACTCCCCCCCTGTACAAAGTTGTAAAGTTCATTTTTTGACATAACAACTTGTATATCTCATTGTTGCAATGGGTCTACCTGTATCCCTATTTAAACTATTTTTTTCCCTTCCCATCCACAATTTATACCGACATCAAATACAGTGAAAGCAGGGGTTATACCATGGCGGAGGGACATACATAGCAACAAAGCAATAATCTTATAAATGTGTTAGAAACAATCACATGAAAGAACAAAACATTTGAATACATATCTCAGGGTTCATTTCCCTAGCATCAATATATCTGACCTTTTCTGCTTGACTCAGTCATATACTAGTTATTGCAAATAAGGGAAACCATGGGACCTATGTTTCTTTGGGCCTAGCTTACTTCACTTAATATAATTTTTCCATGTCTTTCCATTTCCTAACAAATGGGCAATGCCATTCTTTCTGATGGAGGCATAGAATTCCATTGTGTATATATACCACATTTTCTTGATCCATTCATCTGCTGAGGGGCATCTGGGTTGGTTCCATACCTTAACTATGGTAAATAAGGCTGCAATAAACATAGTCATGCTGGTAGCTTTAGTGTGCTCTTGTTTGTGAACATTTGGGTAAATGCCCAAAAGTGGCATTGGTGGGTCATAGTAGAGCTCCATGTAGAGACTTTTGAGGAACCTTCATACTGCTTTCCAAAGTGGTTGAACAAGTTTACACTCCCACCAACAATGCAGTAAGGTTCCCTTCTCTCCACATCCCCTCCAGCATCTGTTGTTTATTAGAGTTCTTGATTATAGCCATTCTAACTGGGGTGAGGGGGTACCTCAATGTTGTTTTGATTTGCAGTTGCATTATAGCTATAGCAATTGTCAGTGCCACCAGAAATATGTGAGAGATGACTACTTTCCTCATAAGGGACTGTAACCCTAGTTTTATATCGTTCAAGACGATTGGAACAAATAAATATGGATTAACCCAAAATGGCTAGTTGATTAAGATTTCACAGAACACCCTAAAGAGTATCAGAATAATTGGTAGTCCCCTAAATCATTCATCAGTTTTCTCCATTTTTTGTAACTATTCTAATTGTAAATCTTCAATCTTCTATGATGTTTCGTGCACAATGTGCAAGTCATGCATCTACTACTGCTACTTTAAATGGTTGAATATTTCCCAGGGAAAAGTGTACATACAGTTATTTGCTTATCTCACATCAGCAAACATAGAGAAAAGCAACAGTGTCCTCTTCTAAATCTTATACAATCTTAGATATCATGTGACACACCAAGACTGATCAAGAATTAAGTCACAAATTGTATAACGCTAAAGAATAAAGCCAGAGACATTTTTTTAAGATAAGCAGACTTCTTTTTTCAGACCAAGAAACTGTCACACTAGAGTTTAGGTCACTTGCTACCTCTTAGAAAAGTCAAGGTTGACGTTGATTACCCAGTAATGGCCTGGTTTAGTTCTTCTAGTACATTTAGAAAATACAGTGTTGGAATGGCAGGTCACTGAAAGCCTATATACAAATAAAAATACTTATTTACCCTTATAATAAGCGACATATTTATTAGAGTCATTTTCATTATATGCAAATTGACTACTGAAGTTAGCCTAGAAGGTAGGGTTTGGCAGAAAGAGAGAATTCTAGGCATATGGTTCTGCATCTAACACACTGAGGGCATTTCATAGACATAGCTGATCAGCTGACCTCACGCAGATCACACCAAATTCCCCCTTATCCTCTGGCAAATGAAGCAACAACAATGCCAGAAATGAAAGGGAGGAAAGGCTACTGAAGTGACACTTATTACCTAATGGGCTCAGAAGTTCTGTGGCAACTGCTGTACTCTCAACGCAGGCCTGAGAAAAAAGGCAAAAGAAAACAATTGGTAGAATAGATTAAAGTTCAAATGTGGCCAATGGCACAAGTTTCCAAGCAGTGAGATTTTATAAAACAGAGTGACCCATTTGGCTGCCCCTAGTGTCTTCTGTTTATACTGATCTCTGTACATTGCCAGTGTTTCAGGGGTTTCGGAATTTCTTCATCAAAATGTCAGGCTATCTAGAGGGTCTCCATTCATTCCTGTTATATAAAGATAATATAATATTTCTGTGGGGGGTGGGAGAATCATTCTAGCCTTAGGAAACAGCACATGAAACTGCTTTTCAAAAAGTTCCTGAAAAATATATTCATCATATTTAAACGAGTGTCTATGACAAAACCACTGCTTCTTAAAGACAAATGCAAGGGTGTAACTGGGTTTAAATCCAATAGCATGTAGCTCTGGATGAATGCAATGCCAAGATTTCCTAATTCATTCTTGATTGAAACATTTTAATTCTGGTGACAGTAGAACCTAGCACTTCTCTAAAGATCCCAGAATGATCACTGTCTGCATAAGGCTCACAAATCAGATACTTGTGTGGATCCAAACTAATCACTATTATGGGTGCCAGTGGCTTACAATTGTAATTCTAGCTACTCAGGGGGCTGAGATCTTAGTATCTCTGGGGCAAAGCCAGCCCAGGCAACAAAAGTCCATGAATTCTGACCTCCAATTAACCAGCAAAAAGTTGGAAGTGGGGTATGGCTCAAGTGGTAGAGGGCCAGTCTTAAATGAAAAAACTAAGGGACAGGACTCAGGCCCTGAGTTCAAGCCTCAGGTACAGTGTGCACGAACACAGGTGCGCATGTACTCACGCACGCACGTACGCATGAGCGCGCGTGCGCGCGCGCGCACACACACACACACACACAATGGTCAACATGCTAGAGAAATTCTGGACTCTGAGAGCATGAGGATTTAATAAGGTATTTAAGAATTTTAGAGGTCTAGGAGCCACATCATCAGGACCTCTTTCAAAAGGGAAAGTAGTCACAAAGAGCTCTTCACCATTTACTTGCATTCTCCAGAGGTCCTTAGGACAACCTTGAGAGCTAGAATGAGAAGTTATTAAAATCCAAGGAGCAGAGACTGCTTGATTGAAGTTGAATTCATTTTCAACTCACTGTTAGGACACGTAAATACACTACACATTTCTTCTTTAGATGTTCATGTCCCTAATTAAAGGATTTTTGTCCCTAATTAAAGGATTTATAATTCCTAAGAGTTTGGTCTCCAGAGTGCCTCGTCCTACAAAATATGTTGAACTTTCACATATTCCTTTACCTGCCCAAACTCATCACTCCAAGACACACACACACACACACACACACACACACATACACAAGCACGCGCACACACACATGCTGTCAGATCAATGACATCAAGTCCCTAAGTCTGTGAGAGTCCCAGCCCCTTTCCTTTACAGGGAAGCTCCTGCCCTGGTTGTCTTCGAACCACAGATTTTGGACCTCAGCCTCCTGAGGAGCTAGTTGTCCCCGCTTAGCCACCTTCTCCCTGGCCTATCTTCCTAAAGGATACTCCAGCATCTCCCCTGGCTTGACAGACTGGACCGTCTGGATTCTTTTACATCTCTCTGTGAACCAGACACAGCGACTGCAAACGGCACGCAGAGGACGCCGCTCTGAGGACCAAAGGCCGTCTCCAGATATCTTCCCAGGACAAAATCCCAGGATTATGCAAATCTATTGCACTTTGGAGAATTTTTTTCCTTTTTTGGGGGGTCTGGTCGTGGGGCCTGAACTCTGGGCCTGGGCGCTGAACTCAGCTCTAGGCTAGCGCTCTACCACTTGAGCCACAGCGCCACTTCCGGCTTCTTTCTTTTTGCTTGTGTGGTGCTGAGGAATTGAACCCAGGACCTCAGGCATGCAAGGCTCCACCACTGAACCACCTTCCCAGCCCTGGAGAGTTTTTAATCCCAATGCCAGAACCAAGGTTCGCGCCCCCTGGCGGCACGGACGCCCGCACTTCCACACCTTACCTCAGCGGTCGCTCGGTTTCCCTTCTATCCTAGGCCAAGAGCAAGTGGGAGGACCTTCCAGGAGAGGGAAGGCGGGACCTGGTCTCCCGGCAACGGCCCAGCGATTGGCCAGCCCGTCTGCAGTGTGTCCAATAGCCAGACGTCTCGCCAACGTTCGGCGCAGAGTCTGCGGCTGCGCGGGAGATTCGAATAGTCTTCACGCAGCAGCTGGGCCTGCTGCCGTCCCCGCATCCTCCTCGCCATGGACAACCCGGAAAATGTATTTCAGTAAGTCCTTCTGGAGGGGTGGGAGCGATGCGATGGCGTCGCCCTCCGCCGCGGGCCCAGCGTCCCACAGGTTGTGTGCTGGGCTCAGCTCCCAGCGTCCCCCGGCCTTCCCCACCTCCTTCACCCCCGCTCCACCCCCGGCTTTGGGTTTGTGGCAGCCCGGCCCACCGCTCCCTAGCCCGGGCCGCTTCCGGAGCCATTCGTGTGGTGGGTGCCGCTCCTGAGGACACCCCGCCGTCGCCCGCCCACCTGGCTGCCCTGTGACCGTGGGGGGACGGGACGAGGTGTGAGGCCGAGAGCTCTTGTCGCTCGTCCGTGAGGACCCAGGTCTGGACAGACGCCTCGGTGGCAGGAAAGCGCCACCCCGGTGCGATTTCGGCATAACGAAAAATAGAAAAGTAAATCAAAAATGCTGACCCCATCGGAGCGAGAATTCACCCCGCTCTCACACCCATCGAGGGTGTGAGAGAAAAAAAGGTTTGCTTATTGTCGGATCATTCCTGCCATTTTCCTCACCTTTTTTGTTTTTCGTCGGTCGTGAGGCTTGAACTCCTGGCCTGGGCGCTGTCCCTCAGCTCTTCAGCTCAAGGCGAGCGCTCTACCACTGAGCCACCTTCCCAGCCCTTCAGCACAATTTTTAAAAGTTCCACGTTTGTTTTATAACTTAGGTGACTGACCCAGCCTGTGATTTAAAAGCATTCAAAATGGTTTAATCATGTGTGGTAGGAAGTAAAAGGTGGGCGCGCGCTCGCGCGCGCGTGTGTGTGTGTGTGTGTGTGTGTGTGTGTGTAGGTGTAGGTGTGTGTGTTAAACATCTCTTGGGGATCTGAGAACTAATGTAGTCAAAACAAACATTTGTTTAAGTCTTTTAGATTGTCTTCAATCAGTCCAACAAGGAAGGCATTCTCTTTTGGGACTCCACCCCTCATTTAAAGGGAGCCCAACTTTGGTTTAGAACGGCAATCTGCCAGATCTATTTTGATTTTTTTTTTAAAGCTAATTTGTTCCAATGAACTGACTGTGAAGTTTTAGCTGGTGTTAGCTATTTTCCTAGGATGTAGTTGATGTAGAGAGCATGATCTGTTTATTTTGAGCAAACTTGTATCACCCATTTTTGGGAGAAAGGTTCTGACCTTATAGGGATTTATCCTGATGTAAGGAGGCATGAGAGATTCAAATTTAGAAGTAGGTTTAGAAAAGTATTCCCCAGGAACTTTTTATACCTATCTATTCTCGTTCCATCCTATATAACCAACCTTCTAGTTTTTCAAGTGTTCGTTTTTGAAAATATATTTTTGTAGTCTATCTATGTTTGTGTAGGTGTGTGTACATTTCCTGCCTTTATCTCACATCAAATGTAGCAGAGAAACATGGCATTTTTTTGCCTAACAATATCCTTAGAAATAAATACATAAACACATTTTTTTAAGTTTTACAAATTCATACAGCATTTGGGCTGTTGATTTGTCTTTTGCTATTACAAATAGTGTTCCAGTAAAAATATTGTGCATATGGTATTTGGCATATACACAGGTGTATCTGATTTCTAGATTTCCCAAAGTAGGTTTACAGTTATCCCCTTACCCACTGTTTCAGTTACCTGAAACATCTGTGGTCTAAATATTTTAAATGGAAAATCCCAGAAATTTCTTCAGTTTTAAACTGGATGAGACTAAACATAAGACTTCCTTCCCTATGGCCCAGCCATCCCACTCCTGGGCATTCACATGACCATGAACCAGGCTGCACTGAAGCCACCAGCCCAACCATGTTCATTGCAGCACAGTTGACCATAGCTAAGATCCAAAATCAACCCAGAAGCCCCTAAATGGATGAATGGATCAAGAAATGTAAGTATGCACAATGGAATTTTAAACTTCCATCAGAAAGAATGACATTGTGACATTTGTAAGGAAATGGAAGGACTTGTAAAAAATTATACTAAGTGCAGTAAGCCAGACCCAAAGAAACATACATAGGTTTCATGGTTTCCCTCATTTGTAATAATTAGAATGTGCCTAAAAATCTACAAGTAAATCCAATGGATAGTAAAAGACAAATAATTACATTTGGACATGATTAATTATACAGCACTTTAAACAGTCACATAGTGAAACCAAAAGGATATTCTCAGGAGAGGATCGCAAGAGCTAATAGCTATGTGCATATGGTCACATAAAATGATGCTTATCGAAATGAGTTCTAAGAAATGGAAATGAAGTTTTTCTTAATTGTCCTGTTTGCAGTTTTTTTTTTCCTTCTGTTTATTCCCTTTGGTCACTTTGATTTCTGTACCCTTTGTCTTGTATATAAATTTATTTGATTTGGTGAAAAAAAGGGGAAGCACAGAAATGGTGGGACAAAGAGTGAACCAATTCAGCAGTGGTACTCAGTAGACATGGTTAGAATTACCTGACGTATGTAACTGTAACTCTTCTGTATATCACCTTTAAAATAAAATTTAAATGAAAAAAATAAATTGGACAGTATTCTGTGTAGCCTGATGAAATCTTGCACCTTCCTGCTCCTGCTCTTTGCAGTTTAGGGAAATGACTCTTGCCAAGTTCCTTAGTATCCCACCTATTGACTTAGTGGTATTCTATAGTGCCTTGTGTACATACGCCTTAATTTCCTAAATAATGATTCCAAAGCACAAGAATGTGATGCTGACAATTCAGTTATGACAAAGAGAATACAAAATTATGCTTCCTTGTAGTGGTGAAAAGGTGCAAGTGTTTGACTTAAGAACAAATGAATGAAATTCATAGTGCAATTGCTAAGATCTATGATAAGAACCTCTTATCTTTTCCATGAAATGGTGAAGGAAGGAAAAAGAAAATTTTGCTGTCATACTTACAAACTGCAAATGTTATTGCCATAATATATGATAAGTGCTTAAGATATAAAAGACATTAAATTTGGAGATAAAACACAGAACAGAAAATGTGTTCTGTCAGCAGTAAATTGTACCAGAGAGCAAAAAGCCTATATAACAAAGACTTCAGTAAGTCTTACCAAGCTTACCAAGACATTCACGCAACTAAGGGATGGCTAGAGAGATCCAGCAATAACTTAGGGCTGAAAAAATATAGAATTACTCAAGAGACTGTGTCTACTGTGACAGAAGTTGTTCTGCCATGTTTTCAAAAGAGGTGAAGAAGTTGATTTGGGAAAAAGGATACCATCCGCAAAAAGTCTTCAGTTGTGCTATTTTATTATTGTTCATGTTAATCTGTTTCTATGCCTGATTTACAAATTAAGTTTAATTATACTTATGTATGTATCAGAAAAAAGCAATATATAAAGGACACAATATTATAGTTCTACAGTTTCAGGTATCCTGTCAAAATTTTGAATCAGGTGAAGATGGAGTGGATGGTTAACTCTATTCGCAGGTATTGAATGCACTCTTGCCTGCAAGAAAGATGTGAGTACCTGCTTCCTGTTACCTACTTTCTTGCTCATCTCACATTTTTTTTTCCCAATAAGATACATTTAGAGAGAAGTTGTACTTCAATAAGGTAGATTTCTCTTTGGAGAGAGTTTGAACTTATTTTCTATGTGTAAAAGCTTGTAATTCAAGCCAGCTGCTGGCAGTTCACTGATCCTATCTACTCAGGAGGCTGAGATAAGAGGATTATGGTTCAAAGTCAGCCAAGTCAGGAAAGCCCGTGAGTCTCTTACCCCAATTAGCCACCCAAAATCTAGAAGTAGAGCTGTGGCTCAAGTTGTAACCTTGAGCAAAAAAGCTCAGGGATAGCACCCAGGCCCTGCCTTCAAGCCCCAGGACCAGCACACATGCATGTACACACAGACACACATAGCTTGTAATTCTTAGTGAAGTGCTTTTTTTGGTCTTTTATGCCTTTAGTTCATTTTCAATTTTTAGAAATTCTTTTGTTTTCCCAGCTTGTCATTTCTCTTGTCTCTGGTGGTAGTTTTTTTTTAATTATTATTTATCTGATGTGTACAAAGAAACTTTGTATTATCTTACAGCTGACTTTATATTGCTTTTTTTGTTATGATATCTGGATTTTGAGTCATGAGGAACATTGGTTTCATTTCTGTACTAAGGTGATATCTAGAAGAGAGTGAAATTTAATATTTTACCTCTGGTTTTAAGGTTCCTTAATTTAGTCTCTGGAATAATTTGATATAGATTTTTGAATAGAAAAGGTATAGACATTTCATCATGTACAAGTCCATGAAAGTCTCAAAAGTACCACAGGACTTATGAAATGGTAACATCTGTATACAACACCTTAATAATAACAAAATTTCTTTTTCAAAAAGTGTCACAAAAAGAAGATGAGGCAGATAAAAAGCATCAGAGGTCAGCTGTTGACCTCATATGGGATTGTGGCAAATTTCTGTTACAAAAAATGTTGCTGTGCAGATCTATAGTTTCTTTGAGTAACTCAGTATGCCAAAGAAATATATTTTTAGGTCTCCTGTAAAATATTTTAATCCCTTTTAATAAAAAAAAACTTACAATTTCTCATAAAACCAGTCTGATCTATAAGCCCCACCCTACTTCCTCTGAAATGTGCATCATGTGCATCATGTGCACTTCTGTCACCCTGGCCTGTACCACCCACCACTGCAACTCTAGTCCATCCTAAGTGGTTCTCACCTCCATTCCCCTACCTCTTAGAGGAAAAAAGTAGACATTTTAAAATGTGAATTTGAATTTGTCACTCAACATTCTCCTGCTCATCACATTTAAACCACACTGATTCTATTTCTGTTCCTGGAAGTAGCCAGTTCCTGAAGTTCTCTCTGTTTGACCATTTCCCTCCTGATAGTGTGGCTGCCTGGCTTTAATCTCATGTCATCCCCTTCAAGAGGCAGGCCTTTCCTAACCACTCTATCTAGAAAGAGTAACCCTTACCACACTCTTATCCTCTTCTCCTGTTTGGTTTGGTTTTGTTTTCTTCTTAGTACTTAATATAACTTGACATATTTAACATTTTCTCTGTTCATTTGTTTGCCTCAGCATCTGAGCTCCCAGAAGAGTTTTGTTTTGTTTGGCCAATTTTTTTTTCTTTTTCTCTTTCTTCTTGTTTTTTTTTTTTTTTGTTGTTGTTGTTGTTTGTGTGTGTGTGTGTGTGTGTGTGTGTGATTGTGGTTTGAACTCAAGTCCTTATGTTCACTAGGCAAGTGCTTTACCACTTTAGCCACACCCCCACCCCTTTTTTGCTTTTAGTTATTTTCAGATAGGATCTTGTGTGTTTGCCTGTGTCTGACTTCAGATTATGATCTCTACCGCCAACTCTGAGTAGCAGGCATTATAGGAGTGAGCCATCATGACTGGCTGCTGTTTAGTTGCTTTTTAAAACTTGTAGTTGGGTATATGGAAATAAGAGAAGCAGAGTCTTCTGAAAGCTTTAGTGACTGGTGTACCGTCACTGTGGTATGCTCTTCCTTAGGAGCAATGTGTTACCTTGGAGCCCAGGAAACTCTTAAGTTGTGGTGATCTGGCTATCACCCAAGTAGGTGTAAGCCTTCTTCCATATTGTTCTAGCCATTCTTCTAGGAAGCAAATGAGAGGTCTGAGTAGGATCATATCTTAATCCTACTGTTAGGAGGAGAGCAGCAAGCTCCCAGACTTGGCCCCTCAAAGAAGCTACGCCATAGGCTGGGAAGGTGGCTCAGTGGTACAGTGCTTGCCTTGTATGCATGAGGCCCTGGGTTTGATTCCTCAGTACCACATAAACAGAAAAAGCTGAAAGTGGCTCTGTGGCTCAAGTGGTAGAGCACTAGCCTTGAGCTGAAGAGCTGATGGACGGACAACACCCAGGCCCAGAGTTCAGGCCCCATGACTGAAAAAAAAAAAAAAAAGCTATGCCACTGGGACCAGGTGAAGGAGAGGCAGGGATAGAGCTAGAGATGAACTTTCATCAGGAAACGGCTTCTGAGTTTTCTAACTACTTCTGAGTGAATGTTGTTTCAAATTTTATACTATAGCATTTGGGTTGATAATTTGTTTTTTATGTTAAGAGATATAAATGAGATTTCTATTTCTTCTTTTTTTGCTCTTAAGAATTATCTTTAGTATCTCACATATGTGCTTTTCACTGTTCTAGAATGTTTGAAGCCCATATGCGAAACTACAAAGGCAGTGACCCACTTGGAGAATGGGAAAGGTCAGCATTTACTTTACTTTTTCCCTTGACACCAACTATATGCTACTCTACTGAAAACTAACATTATCTGTGTCTTTCTAGCTACTTGCAGTGGATAGAAGAGAATTTTCCTGATAATAAAGACTACTTGATACTGTCATTAGAACATTTAATGAAGGAATTTTTAGATGTGAAGAAATACCACAATGACCCAAGATTCATCAATTATTGCTTAAAATTTGTAAGTATACTATCAGATGGCTAATCAGATCAAAATCATGTTCTTTTGTTTTGTTTTGTTTTTCCCTAGATCTTAAGATTGTTTGGTGCTGGTATTTTATTTAACTTCCTTGTATCCAGTCTTTTTTTAAAAAATTTTATGGGTAGAAGTGTTCATTTTAGAAAGAAAATGCACTGTATTTAGACAGTGATTTAATTTTAAAAACATAGTCTTCATTTCAAATCTGCAAGTGTTCCAGCATGAGACAGAAACTGAAAGCTTAAAAAAGTAGAATGTATGTTGGGTAAGAAATGTTTGGTGAGGGGAAGATAAGCAGAAACTACCAGGTACTAACAGGCCTCTGGGAGCAAATTAAATTTATACAATAATGAAAACTTTACCTCTCAAAGACTAAATTTAGTACTAAAAAGATAAGCTAAGTCAGGCTTTAAGAGGTTGGGACAAAGCCTGGAATAAAAGCTTGGAACATGGGCTCTAGTAATAGAAATCACATATGGAGTGAATAAGAGTAAACATGAACTTGTTCACTAAGTTATAAAATAAGCTCTCTGGAGCTTAGATTAAGAGATTAAGCTCAGATTAAGAGAAAAGTAATATTGGATGTAATAATATTATCAACGACTCACTAACTTAGAAAATAGTACAGATAATTTTAAGAATATTGAATGTTAAGGAAAGGAAAGAACCTAACTTTTTGGTTTGCTGTCAGAACTGTACACACCTTTACCTATGCAATGTCTATCCTCAGTCCTTTATGAGGACTGAACAGTGGAGGGCTATCTAGATTCTGGACCTGACCTATACTAATAATTTCATTGTCCTTATATATTATTATAGATTGATTTAGTGTTCCTAGTGTCTTTATTTACATACTTTTATGCAGAGTAATTACATGTGTTTATGAAATGCAGTATGATAGATATTTCAATATATACATGTAATGTGTAATGATCCGCACAGGCTAAGTACATATCCATCACCTCAGTTGCTTATCATTTCTTTGTTTTGGGAACATTAAGAATCTTCTCTAGCTATTTTGAAACACAAAATTACCCTGTTACTAGGATACCCTGCTGTTACTCATTATTAGAAGTTACTCCTTCCCTGTCCAACAGCCCATATACCTGGTAACCTCTTCTCAGTCACCCCACCTCACTTGTCTTATATGTTTTTGGTCTGGGTTCCTATAGGCTGAGTACAACAATGACCTCCATCAGTTTTTTGAGTTTCTGTACAACCAAGGAATTGGAACCCTGTCATCTCCTCTGTACATTTTCTGGGCGGGACATCTAGAAGCCCTGGGAGAACTGCAGCATGCCAGTGCTGTTTTTCGGAGAGGAATTCAGAACCAAGCTGAACCTAGAGAACTACTGCAACAACAGTACAGGTAGTTTCAAAATAAGAATGGAATATTTGCTTTTAAAACACTTATGCTATTGAAAGTGATACTGTGTCTCAGAGTAGTAGAGCACAAGCTATGGGCCAAAGAGCTCAGGGACAGTGCCCAGGCCCTGAGTTCAAGCCCCACAATCAACAACAATTAAAAAAAAAAAAAAGTTTGTGCTATCCATTTTAGTGGGAAATCCTTCTTGTGGGAAAGGTGCTCAATATAGAGTAGTATAACGAAAAGAAATTGCCCAGAAATATTACTATTAACATTTTGGTGACTTCTAATAACTTTTCCTTTTCCTATTTGTGTTTGTTTTTATGTGTTTAAACTGTAAATCGTGCTGTATGTGTACTTGTATATACTAAGCTTTGTATTGCTCTTAAGAAAGTACAGCCTTTTAAACAACTTATAAAGTACTTATAAAATCTGTCACAGTTATGTCATAGGTCGTTTACAACATTTTAGTTTTTATAAAGAACAACCTTATTTTAATGTTTTTCATTACTCTAACAGAATACCACAGACTGAAAGAATATAAAAAATAAAGGTTTATTCAGCTAATTTCTGGAGGCTTGGAGGTTTCTAGACAAGGAGTAGTCTGTGGTGGGCTCTTTCTTGCTGGTAGGGACTTCACATGGCAAGAAGGGCACATACAAGAGAGAGAAACTGGCTTTTGTTATCCGTGAATCTGTGAAAATAGATTAATCCACTCATTAGCAGAGCTCCCATGACCTAACCACCTTTGAAGTGATCTCTTATAATGAAAAATAACTTTGAGTATGAGTTTTGGTGAACATCCAAACTATAGCAAATGCTAAATATCCAAAGGAACATACTGTTTTCCCCTATGATTTTTACTTATTCTATAATTAGATATATCTTATTTTAGACATTTATTAGTGCTTTTCTTTTTTATAAAAGTATTTGAATGTTTCCAATTCTTTTGATAAAGTCTAGAATTGGAGCTGTGGAGCCAAAGGGACAATAAGTTTTAAGGCTAGTGCTACATGTAACCACACTGCCTGTTTAAAGGCTGTACCAGTTTGTCACTGTTCTCTCATTAACAGAATCAGAGGCACTCTGTTTGCTGCATGCCCTGCCATCATTTAATATACTCCCTTTAAAAAAAAAAAATACTTTGCTGGGCTGGGAGGGTGGCTCAGTGGTAGAGTGCTTGCCTTGCATGCATGAGGCCCTGGATTCAATTCCTCAGCACCACATAAGCAGTAAAAGCCAGAAGTGGTGCTGTGGCTCAAGTGGTAGAGTGCTAGCCTTGAGCTGAAAGCTGAGGGACAGTGCCTAGACCCAGAGTTCAGGCCCCATGACCGCAAAAAAAAAAAAAAAAAATACCTTGCTATAGTTCTTGTACTTAAATATTTTTATTATGAAAAATATCAAAAACATGAAAAAGAAATATCAGTATAATAAAACACCATTTAATGATCCATTGCAACAATGATACCCACAAGACAATATATTGGAATTCAACTTTACAACTTTGTGGGGGGGGTGGAGTGAAAGAGGTGGGTGAGGGAAGGGATAGTGGGAGAACAAAGGAAGGGGTAACAATGCTCGACAAGATATGTACTCATTCCGTTACTCATGTAATTGCAACCCCTCAGTACAGCATCTTTACAATAAATAAAATTAAAAAATAAAGAAACCTCCATGTATTCAGCACATTCTTTTAATAATTATTAACGTTTTGCCAATGTTTTTGCTGTGCTTAAGAATATTAAAGCAGCTCAAGAGCAGCAGATATTTTGCCTCAAACTCTACCACATAAATATCTCCAAAAGATTATTTCTTACAACTCTTACTCCATAATCATTTAATAAAAATAACAATTCTTTAATATCATCTAATTTTCTGTCTTTCCTCATCATGTAAAAAGGTTTGGTTACAATGTATTTGTTTAAATTAAGAGCTAAGCTATGTTTAGCATTTTCTTTTTATTTTTGGGTCCAGTCGTGGGGCCTGAAATCTGGGCCTGGGCGCTGTCCCTCAGCGCTTCAGCTCAAGGCTAGAGCTCTACCACTTGAGCCATAGCGCCACTTCTGGCTTTTTTTCTTTCTGCTTATATGGTGCTGAGGAATCGAACCCAGGGCCTCATGCATGCAAGGCAAGCACTCTACCACTGAGCCACATTCCCAGCCCTAGCATTTTCTTGTACATCTTGTTCATATATACTCTTGCTCAGCTTGGGAACTATACATTGTTGACAGTTGATATGTAAAAGTGCCATGAAATGACATATCTAAGAACTTCTCATAGGCTGAACAGTATTAATCTGTCTGCCTTTTGAAGTTTTATACTTTCAGTTCTTTCTTCAAAACATTATATTCATTTTGTTCCAAATGTACAAAATAGCTAAAGTAGGAATTCAAACACCCTGGGTTATATTTGCAGACTTCAGACATGGAAAAAGTATGTTTGTTATGTGGATTTGAGAAATGTAGACTTAACCTGGGCAAAAGGATGACTTTTGTGTGTGTATATGCTGGTCCTGAGGCTCAAACTCAAGGTTTGGACACTCCCTGACCTTTTTTGCTCAAGGCTAGTGCTCTACAACTTGAGCCACAGGCTCTATTTTTGACTTTTTGGTAGTTAGGGTCTCATGAACCTATCTGCCTGGGCTGGCTTGAAACTGTGATCCTTGGGTCTCAGCCTCCTGAGTATCTAGGATTACAGGTGATAGCCTCTGCTCACAGCAAGGACATTTTCTACTAGGTATTTCAGATAAAAAGATACACTCTGAATTTTATTCCTTAATTTTGAAGCAACTCATATTCCATTTTATGTTCTTTTTCATCCTCAGTGTTCACAGGCTTATATTTAGTTTCTGTTTGAATATATGTATGTATTCAACTTTAAATTTATAATCTACATTGACATCTTTTCTACCATCATTTAGGTTATTTCAGGCTCGCCTTACTGAAACGCGTTTGCCAGCTCAAGGTAAATAATCCTTTCTAAAAGGTCTAGATTGTTAATAATTGAGTCTCTTAATTTTCACTGATTTTTCTTCGTCTTAAAAAAATATATATATATCTACTATTTACTGAAAACCATACTCTACTGTCTTGGGTCATGGGGATAGCACTGTAATAATAAAGCCTATAAGTAGCCCTAGGACCAAGACTTCTGTCTTATTTATCTTACCACTTTAATAGAGCAATCTTGCAAGGAAAGCTTGATGTTTTCATTCTGTTGCAACAAGTGGGACGGGTAGGTAGTTAAAAGATGTTATCAGAGCTGGGCACTGATGGCTCTTGCCTGTAATCCTAGCTATTCAGGAGGCTGAGATCTGAAGATCATGGTTCAAAGCCAGCCCAGGCAGAAAAGTCCATGAGACACTTATCTCCAATAAACTACTAGAAAACCAGAAATGGTGAGGTGGCTCATGCGGTATAGTGCTTGCCTTGAGCTGATGAGCGCAGGGATAGCACCTAAGCCCAGAGTTCAAGCCCCACGGCTGACATACATACATACATAAATACATACATACATACATAAATAAATAAATGATATTATCAGGCATGGTAGATTACTCCTGTAATCTCAACGATTTCAACACTTGAATGGCCAAAGCAGGAAACTGAAGTTTGAGCAACATAGAGATACTTTCAAAAAGTAAAAAGTTTCCAAAAAAGATTCTAGACTCTGTTCTAAATTACACCTATGTGTTTTATGTAATATTTAGGAAATATGATCCCTTTTTTTCTGTAGGAAAAAAAATTATGTGTGTTGTGGGAAGGAAGGTGATATGTATGGTGTGTGTTTGTACTGGGGCTTGAACTCAGGGCACTGTTTCTGAGCTTTTTTGCTCAAGACTAGCACTCTATCACTTGAGCCACAGCCCCACTTCTACCTTTTTGGTGATTAATTGAAGATAAAAGTCTCAGGGACTTTCCTTCAACCTGCGATCATTAGATCTCAGCCTCCTAGGTATGAGCCATTGGCACTCAGCAAGGTTTTATGTTTCTTTCCTATACTTTTTTGGGTGTTTTTAATTGGTAGGAAAATTGTTTGTATAATATTTGGATTTAAAAAATGTTTTACTTCCATTTTCTGAGAAAAATGTGAGTGCATTGAATGAATGAGCAAGGGAATGTATTATACAGTAATTTAATATTTTTTCCGTACTTTGTCTCATCTCATAGCTGGAACCTCAGAACCTCTGCAAAATGCCCAGATTTTAAACCAAGCAATAGCATCAAAATCCAGTCCAGAAAAAAACCCAGCCTATGTTTCTAAGAGTCAGGTAATAAAGACATTTTTAAGTTGTATGAAAACTAGGAATGTACTAAACAGACCATCTTGACT